AGATGAGCTTACCAGAATCCATCAGTGCAACAGACCTTGAAGAAACCCATTGGTTCTTTGTAACCCTGTGGTTTAAATCACTAATAGATGTCACTGCTGGTTCCACAGCTGATTGTATATCTTTCTAAGCAGCATCTGGGTCAGCCTCGTTTTCAGAACTATCTAACTGTGACTTCAGTTGTTCCTGGAACTTACTTTTGGTTTTCTCGTTATTCGGTTTAGTTCTAATGGGCCTTTTAAATGCGGCTTTTTTGCGTCCAGTGAGGCGCGAGCAGATGCGTGCCCGTATTAGGGCGTGGTCGGAGTCCACGCAGGTATTCCAGAACGAGCGACAATCTTCTACCGACTCTCTCCAACGATGACTGATGGCAATATGATCTATTTGAGTCCATCGTTGGTATGGTGCAGGGGGTCGCCATGTTAGACGATGTCTCTCCTTATGCTTAAAATTTGTGTTTGCTAAAAACAAACGATTGTCTGAGCACAGTTGCAGCAGACGATCACCACTATCTGTTCGTTGTGCCGGAATACTGAAATACACACCTAAATGTCATTCTGTTTGGCTTAAACTACCTATCTGAGCATTAAAGTCACCTCCTAAGAGTACTATGTCTGAACGTTTAGCTATCTAAAGAAGTTCAGAGAGCTTTCCGTAAAATTCATCTTTCACTTCATTTGAGCTGCAGTCAGTGGTAGCGTAGGCAGAAACGACAAAAACGCAACGACATGTGTCCCTATCCTTCTGAATTCTTACGGAGCCGTTTAGCCAAACAGCACATAAACGACTGTTAACGGGGATCCACTCTAACAGTGCTTGTTCCGCGCTCAAGCTTAGTGCTATGCCTACGCCTGCCAGTCCACGAGAACTGGCCGTCGGGTCGCCAGATACACGGAGGGTGTATCTCGTCGGTTCTCCGTTTTGCCGTGGTGAGGTTAAGTGAATGACCACACTGGGATCCTGTATACGTGTTTCGGAGACACAGTATACATCAATCGTACGAGATTCTAGGGTTTTAAGCCAAGGAGGCCTGCTGACCGATTTGGCATAGTGTGTGTTCGTTGAAGGCTTCAATGTGTAGTTTGGAGCGAGGTTTCAGTAGACCTGGGACAGTGTTTTTCGCACTAGAATCGTTGGCTATGGTGACACTTGAGGGGGAAGCCGAAAGAGGAAGTTTAGAGTTGAAAGTCGATGTAGGAGGAATAATAGGAATTGAAGAGAGAGGTTGATTAGGAACACAGTGGTCTTGGGTGCTGTTAGAGGTATGAGGGCGGTTACCACTTCTCGGTTGCCCACACCGTGGAAGGGTCCTTCTGGAAGTGCCTGAAAAGTAAATTGCATTAGAGGTGATCATAGTGACCTGAGAGCGCGACAGAATTACAACATACCAGGGTACCGTTACACTATTGAGGATAAACCTCTTCCCTGCTTTCAAGAGCATCAAGTCTTAGGAGTAGTAATAAGTCATGATTTAAAAACCACTACGCATTGCAAAGCAGCCGCTTTCAAAGTTTTTCGTGCGTTATAGTCACTTCGCCGAGTGTTGAAATCTTTTTACGAGGAAACGTTTCGAATTTCATATCCCATATATTTTAGAGTACATTTGGAGTACTGTATCCAAGCAGCTAGCCCGTGTCTGGTAAAAATACTAACTCACTTGAGCGTGTCCAGCGTGTGGGAACGAAATTAGTGAAGTGTCTTTCTGGACTCCCCAACGATGAGCGTTTAAAACGCCTAAATCCTTTCCCCTTGTCGTATCGTAGGACACGAGGTGACCTTATACTGGCATTTCGTATCTTTAATTATGATTTGGGTGTTAATATGTCTTATCTTTTTGCTCCCTCCAGCACTAATAATCTCCGAGGTCATAGCAAGAAGGTTCATAAACCACGATCTAATAAACTTAAAGTGGGGTCCCGTTTTTCTCATCGAGCAGTCAATCATTGAAACGCCTTACCCGAACAAGTGGTATCAGCCCCATCAGTGAATACCTTCAAGGAAAAGCTGGACCTTCACTGGAAAGCAATGTGTCAGGATTAATACAGGTTCACCAACCTACTATCCTTATTACTTAAGACTGAAGACTGAAGACTGTCTGTTATTCTATAAGCCTGATATCGATTATAGACGTGGCAATGTTCCGTCTAAGTTCGGAGCAGTCTTATCTTCAGAATACGGTTATGAAAGGTCAATTAAAAGTTTCCACACAGCGACCATCGGTCGATGGTAGTTTATCATGAAATATTGGATGCTGTACACGTTGTTTGAAAATGCTACTTCTTGGGTCTTTTGGTAAATAAAACGAATTGTGTTGTATGTTATCGTGAACAGAATGCATCAACAAATTTTACTCATCACCAAAGTTTGTAGCTGACTACAAAGTAGATCGTATCTTGTGTATCTAATTACCATAGGTAATGTTATCAAAATGTCTGTTGATGAGAAGTTCTAAAATTAATTCAATTAACTGTGAATATATTATGCTAAAATATATTCAAAAAACGTGATCTTCTTTTAGAATTTTTGATTCGCTTTTTTCTCCACTCTAAATCAGTGTTATAATTGTGGTTATTTTGTAAGCTGTTTATAAGTGAAATCTCATAAATTATGCAGATATATATTTTTAAATCATTATCTCAGGTTATCTTTTCTTAACAAACGAGTATTTATCGGCTATCATTCATGGTAACTTGCTGTCAAAGACAGATAATTTCATTCTTGTTGCCCCAATGGTGTCGTTCAATGGAACGGAGCTTCCCTATGTTTCACATAGGATATGACGTTTAAACATATATACATTATTAGTAATATTTAAGGTGGTAAATTCACTACGTTTAAGGTCTTATGGGAAGAATTCTTCATATTCCATCTCTTTAACTATATTTCTGCATTGATGCCTTCTGACCATGTTTACTTGTAGTTCCATATCCAATTTTATTTGTTGAAACAGAAGGCCGACAACCTGTGTTAATTCTCTTCTGGTGCATTTATTAGTAGCCTGATCTTGTTTTGAACAAGAAAGTCAAGAGCGTAGACATAAGTTTTTTTCCGTTATCAAGTTTCAAGATATGATTAGGCTAAGAGTGCTTTTATTAGCTCTTTAATTCTGAACTCATATGTTATATCCTCTGAATTGAACTGAACAAGATGGAAGATAAACGGATGATATATCAGACGCAAAGTTGTCTGTCATCGTTCCTGGCATCGTATCTAAGTCAACTCGCATTTGGCTATAAGACAAAGTAAAACGGTTTAAATATTTTAGACTCGCATTGTTTTGGGAGGTCCTTATATTCCGGATGTGAATGAGCAATTTTACTTTTTACTTTACATAAAAGGTATAAATGAAGTATCAAACAGTGGCTTTTGGTCTAAACAAGGTTTCTAGTTTGATATCACTTGAACCATATACACAAGGTTGAAAATGTTTGTATTTAACTAGGTCCATTTCCGTCTTAAAATTCGCAAGTTTATAGTTTTTAATAGCAGCTGAATACCAAATAGGTTTAATTATATGTTTAAGACTCTCTAAAATTCATGGATTATTGTGATATGCGCTCACAAATCCTGATAACTCGTCTTTGTTATAGTTATTTGCTTCAACCTATCCACCCTGAAGATTGACATACTAAATTACTTTGTCAGAAATCAATCAGAATTTAGACTACCTTATCAGTAATTTCATATTTAACTAGGAGGCACATACACGTGTATTTTTTGTCACTTTCCTCAAGATTTCGACTTGATCACTGCTAAGAAGCATTACAAACGTAACCGTACGTAAGATTTTACTTGCACAGAGCATGTATAGTAAGAGGCCTGGGACCTAGCCATGTGTTACTCCACTGAGTACTTGTTCCCTTGGGGATCATTTAGTGCCTCTTATTTTTTTTCACTGTATCTCTCCAAAAATGTCTTTGGTTTATGTTGGTAGAGGACCAAATACTCCTAAAATTCTCAGCACATAAGTAAAAACCGTCACACACTAACCAGCAGTTACTTCCGCTTGGTCTTGTTCCTCCCTTGCCGCCTGACATTTACTCACATCTGTAACCGAGTTACCGTCCCAAAGAATTTATTGTACTGTTATCGACATACAACATTGGTCTCTTTCATTGTTTGTTTGCAGTTCCAACAAATTCATTTTTGTATTTTATCTGAGCAAGATGAGTTGTGTTGATACATTACTACGACTGACGGAGATGTCATATAGTTTTTTACTTCAAACACAGAAGTGGTAGTGTTGTTTCGTCTTTGGAAATGTCCAAGACTGTCTTTATATTTGTCTTCTATATATTAGGACGGATCAACTAGTCTGTCTGGTAAAGCCCTACAGTAATGACTCTGGCTATGATGACTGCGTAATCAGTTGTCCTTGTAAACGAAAGGCCCTTAATTTGGCTAACATGATCGCCATAAGTGAAGACTGAGTTCGGTACAGAAGATTGTCCATACCTAGAGGGATATACAAAAAGCTGAACCAAAGCTTGATATTTGTTCGACAGATCTATTTAGAACAGACCAATATTTTTCAAAGTCTGTAGCTTACGGTCGAATATATATCTTTTGTGTTGGGGTTCACCGGATAAAATAAAACCAGAAATAACTAGTTGCTAGGTATCTTGCAATTAGCACCACGAAAAAAATAATTAAGAAACAAAAAAATGGTTGGGGGCAACGGTGTGTTTGAATATGAGTAAAGGTAACGTAAAGTGTTATATTTAAGTTGGTTGTCCAAGGAAAGATGGCAATCTGACGTCGGTTTGTTCTTTGATATAGCCCCAGTGCCTGACTTGAGGCCTTAAATCGGTAACTTTTAACCAAAATAACAAGATCACTACTGTAAAATGCATATGTGATCATTCATTCCATGAATTTATATACATACACATAATAAACAGTTTTATAATCCTGCATTGCTTTGGTTCCAGCTTCTCTGAACAAACAGGTTAACTAAAACCTTTTTGACACTTAGTTTTAGGTGATACCAAAACAGAATAATATGACTCAAGAAAATGAAAAAATGAATCCTTGTGATATAGGTAAATCATTAAAATGTTACTAAAGAAGATAATATATTTCAAGATGAAGTAGAAGTCAGTTCGGATACATCCGAAAAGGAGGCCAAAGAATCCAAAACACACGGATCATTAGAGAACTTTGTGCCACAGATATACCGTGCTAAATTCTTCGGAAATACTTCCGTCTCTGAGCCTCGTGGTGACTTTATTTGCGAAAGCTCACTTGGATTACTTAAAACTCAGTTGCTTACATCAAAATTACACAAGAAAAGAATTAGGATACGTGTAGACACCAGTGGAATTAGTGTTATTGGTTCACGAAATTCGGTAAGTTGGATTGAATTTTATAATACATGCAGTGACAGTTTTGTGTCATGTTGTCTACATAAATGTGAAAAGCAGTCTGAATCCTGAGGCAACGACGGTTAAATAATACTTCTAGAGAGTTTACTTGGCAAAAAATTGCCAGTTCCAATGAAAACTCATTAAAAAACAATATGATTTGGAAACCTGGTGATATTAACTTTAAGAGCCGCTTTCTAAAAATGAGATTGTGTGTAAAAAAATAAAATGTGGGAATTAGCAGATGTTTTTGAGGTCCAGTTGCAATTTTCAATGATCTTTTGAAAATATATATTTAGTGCGATATGTCTCTTTGAATGGATGCCTTAATTTGTATAAATGTATATCAGTATCCAGATACGTATCAAAACGTTTTGTATTGTAACGATAGTAAGAGTGAATGATAGAGTCTACATTGAGTGATTTAATCACTTTTCCGATGTGAAGAACCAAATTTCAGTACTCTTACGTTATTCTCTTACGTAATCACTCAGAATATTTCTTGAAACCTCAACATAATCTGTACGAATGTTTCAAAAAATTGTGCATGCAAGTAATACCTTAATGAGTTTAATAATGCAAGACTGTAATCAACAACACTTATTATTTAGATGGAGATATGAAGTTTGGACAATAAATTATTTAGTGCTTTATTATTCAAGATTAAAAGCCACATATTTAACCCATTCGTAAGTTTGGTCACAGGATAACTGCTTTAATATTTCTGCAATCAAACTATAAGTAACTGATATTGACATATCAAAACGTACTTCAGGTCAACATCTACTCGAATAATAACAAAATAACTTCTGTCGACTACTGTATATCATCAGGATTCCTTGAGTTAAAATGGTGGCAAGGACTTGCACTACCAGCGCTTGCACCGTTGATTTCATTAATTTTTACGATTAACTGGTTTGTGATCAGTTGGTAAATAAAGTTTGATTTTCCTTCAAAGTATTCAGTTAAGGTAATCTGAAGCACAACTAACAAATTAGACCTTAAACTGTCATTTTATACATAATGTTCAGTACTAATGATTGTCAACGGAAGAAAATCCCAGGAATTCAACTACTTTATATCCTTAATTACTTGGTTTGGCTTCCTGAAGATTAAGAGACAGAAGACCTGAATAGTAGTAATCTTAACAATAACTTTTTATACATGAGACGATTAATTTATGATAACTGTTGGAACTATTTAAAACTAACAATTATAATTCAATAACGATCAAGTTATTAAATGCAGTTTTGAGCCAAGTAAGCAGTCAATGCTTTTTTTTAGATTTTATACGCCAGACACTTATAAATTCACCAGACAATAATAACTGTAAAAATGTTAAATCACTTAATTTAGTATGTTAGTAAATCAGTTAAACCTACGACACTTTAAACGAATACAAAAAGCTAGGATAAATAATATACAACCACTAATGATACATTTACTACACGATTTACAATAATGAAATCTTTTAATTTTATGGTCATCTTCGATCGACTGATACAGTTTTACTAATGAACGTTTAAAGTTAGATACATGATTGATTTCATTGATGTTCATTATTAAATATAAACAATCACAATTAAACTGGCTTTCATTTTAAAATATACTTATATACATATGAATGCTTGTTCACATTACCATATTAAATTTACAAATAAACAACTAAAATATCTTGAATGTATATAACATAAATATTTTGAATTGAATTTTAACTAAACAAAACAACATTTTTTTCTTGTCCTGTTGTGTTTCTCTTTGTTGTTTGTTTTTATTTTCATTTCAACATTATTTCAGACATTACATCATGTGCATAAATTTGAAAATATTACATTTATTTGGACTGACCCCTGTGATTTACAATCATGTGGAATTATAGTTAAACAACCATTAATTGGGGATAATGTTCATCAATTTTATGGTTATAAACTTTATCAAAATGTAAGTTTAAATGACTCATTTATCGCGTTTTGCTGTAATAATTTATTTGCAAAATGAATGAAGACGAATATTGTTACTATCCACTTAATTCTATTTAATTCACATTGATTAAAATTATGGTTATTTAGTTTTATGATACAAGTTATTCAATAAAATATCCCTTAAATTTATTTAAATCTATTACAGGGAAGTTGTAGAAAACAGAGGAAATATTTTCAGATATATCAGAATATGCAATCTTTAACTGAGAAACAAGGAAATGAAATTTGCGATATTTTAAACTATATAATAGTAATTTACTGTAGAAAAACAAGAAATCTCATAGAAAGCTTGTAATTTAAACTTATATAAACTGTGAAACAAATGATTCGATCCTTGTTTTTAATCACTTTTCATTGTTTCGGATCTCATATAATCCATTGGAATTGTCTGATAAATAGTTATTGTTCGTTAATAAACCAAATTCTTGATATTAATTGTAATTTATTAGGTTGAACGTGTGTGAAAACCAAGATGTTTTAAAATAAATTAGTACATTTAAGCCTATACGGTCATTGCTGTAAGATGTTTTTTTCTCTGTGATAGTGATGACTTAATGTTTATAGAGTCACACATCTTCTTTTACATCACTTGTTTCTCAAAGGTGAGTTGTGTCTCACAACAGTGTAAACATTTAGCAATTTATGAAAATAAAACATTTGATTGTCTTTACTATTTAATTTAGGATAATCTGATCTTGTTAATAGTTTCCAGGATTCACGAAATGCAGAATTTTGTTTTAATTTATAAATTAAAACCTCCATTTAGTCAAATCCTTCTTCATTCAGTATAGAAATTACAAAAAGAGAGACACCCTAGATTAAAATTTACTCAATATAATCAAAACGGAATGCATCTATAATTTGTTTGAGTAAGCATCAGTTAAAATAATTACTCATTCCTCTGCATCTGGAAATTCATAACATGTACTGACAGAAACCCTAGAATAGAACTCATACAAAGCAGAAACATATTTTCATGCTTATATCGGAATGTAGATACTGTGTAACAATGAGTAAAATTTCGCAAAATTTTAGAAAAGTTCTTAGTACTTTTGATTGATTTACATTGTTTCTTTCATTATCTTTGGCGATAACTATTTCTCAACCATGCTATTTCTTTATTTAACTTTCAGTGGTTATCATTCATTCACATTTACAGTGTATGCTAATAGTATTAGTAATAAAGATGAACCTAATTGTAGCTCTAACTTTCTATACAACTGACAATATTGAGCCCTTGTTCTGTTAGAATGCTTATTATGAAAAATGATTAAAATTGAATATTATTATTTCTCCACTGAAAAATAAAATATTCCAAATAAGTTTTTTATTAATTTAGAGTGAAGTATCTGTAGTGAGTGGATTAGTTGATAATGTCATAAGTACCTCAAACTTTTACATCAATTTTATAAGTAAAAGCAACACATCAATTTCAATATTGAGTGTATCTGTGTAAAGTTACTATGATAATAAAATGTAAGTGATAATGTATGTTTAAAATTCCACCAACAAATGCATTATTATTTTTATTTAATTTTCTTTGTCTTTTATTTATCCTCCATTTTTAGACACCGAAATTGATTGGTGTGTTAAAACACATCTATTCAAATCTTGAGTTATTACCGCCTAATGAAGTAATGAAGAGTATTTATAATTTTTTTGAATAAACTTTGATTGTCTATTTTCACTTCCTCATCTATTATATGCAGTCGATATATTCTTAAAAGTTCCTCAAAGATAAAATAACAAAACCGATCAAACATGATAAGGGTTATTATAAATGAAATAGTCTATCGTCGTACTTGTAATAAAGCTACCAATTTACCTTGAATACTTTTAAAAACATATTTCATTCATAAATGTCTATAGTCAACAATAAATAATTTTGGGTTACTTTAATATCTTGGTTCTAGGCTCTTTGACAGCTATTTCAATTCTGTCAACAAACTAAAAACTTCTGAATTTAAGAAAATCATTATTTTTTCAGTTTTTGGTAGTAAAACCAATAACGCTAACTTAAAACATGAAGTAATTCACTAAAATTTTTAAAGCTAAAGTTATAAACTTCATTAACCAAATGTCACCTACAAACTAAAGTAAATAAACTTAAAACCATATGTCAGTATGTTCAATACTTAATCAGTAATTGCTAATAAAGCACACAAAAAAATTCATACAATACTTACATCTAACAGTTTATTCCAATATAAATAGTTACACAGCCTCAATAAACTACTTATATAAAGCACAATGTTATTAGTCTACACTATGATTAATGCATTTTGAATGCATTAACTTGAATCTGTAATTCGTTCATCTAATGTAAGTTTTAAATATTTTCAGTACACATTTCTCTACTCTCTATTGATTGAACTATACTATATAAAGTACTCTAATTTAGTACAATGAATGTTTCCTATTACAAAAGTTAGTTTGATCAGTTAACTTCAAAAATAGGGCTTATGTAATAATGAAACAGTTATACGATCTCAAGAAATAACCCATTGTTCTCAAATACAAAATAAACAGTGACTATCTTATCAGTTAACAGAAAACATCAGTAAAGTTTATTGACTGTTCATTATTGGTTGTATAATTCAATGCACTCCATTGTTTTCATGTAATCCAATGTTTATTTAAAGTTGCAATCTAGTATTTGTCATATGGTCACACTTTATTCCATGTCACACTTCAACTGAATGATTGGTTTTTAGAGTAGCCTCTTTGAGCTCTAAAATGATAGTTTACACATAAGGTCAAAGAGTTATAACATAATTCCAACTAAACCTTAATCGTGATTTATAATTTCCTCTTGACGTTTTATATCAGTGATTAATATAATGACATTTACTGTTGGCAAAATTTATAAATATAAACTTCAAATTTAAAAATGTCCCAAGGCTTGTGATAGAAAAGCGCATCATCACTGAAAAGTCCTATGTTTGTTCTGTATTTTTGGCAAACACAAAGGTTAACTGAAACCATTAGTATAAAGGAGCCCTATTTAACAGGTTTTGAAATTTAGGTCTATGAGAAAAGTGAACTTATGTATAGTCACTAATCAGTGATGACCAACACAACGACTACTACTGGCCATGTTGAGAATCGGTTACTTCCTCACACTGACCAATACATTTTGGATAATAAATAAAACTTAAAGTCTATTTACCAACTAATATAACAAAGCCTCCAAGTTAAAGCATGTTTTCAGGTAGTTCGTCAATTTACCATGTACCTAAATTCCTAGGTAACAGGCAATTAATAAAAACGTAGATAAACCTTGTATGAAAATGGTGAAGAAGCATAGCATCAAATCCCATTTCTCCACAAATCAACACGATGCATCCAACAATGTAACAAGGGACGTTGCGCTATCGTATCACAGCTGAATAACCTGACTTGATTCCATTATCTTTAAGGTTTTTTAGACACTAATTTTGTAATAATAGAATTTGCTGCCATCGTCATCTGAGCACTACATGTACATAATCAAGTTTGAAGCGGAAGGCTATTATTGTCTGGTGAGAACTATTTATTGACTAGAACGTTTTTGCGTTGTGTATTGTGGATTCCTTGCGTCAAGATTTCAACACAAGCTAAGATATTACATCAGACAAATTCCTCGAATATATTAAAAATTTATATTTTTATTGCTGTTCACTTTATTTACATTTCGCGCTTTACTCTAAATTATGTCACACACAATTCCTTAGGACATACTGAGTAAATCAGAACATTCTACGGATACCAGGATTTTCGACACTACCGAGGAAAATAATCCTGATTTGATTCAGCTAATAGATATTAGTGACAACACTGTCTCACCACACCAAAAAAATACTGACAATGAAAATATTCAAAAACAATACCCAAGTAATGGACACAACGTTCCGTACAATAAAGTAAGTTCAAGCAAAATGAATTACAATTTAGATGACTCTAGTTATCCTACGTCAGTCTGGTTGTAGCTTTTTACACATTTAGAATACTACAGTAAAGTTTTTTATAAGCTTTTACAAGATAATTTAGCTATCAAGTCCTCAAGTTAAAGAACAGTTAGATTATTCACTTGACTGATAATCTGAACATTGCAAAATAACTTATGAATGAAATTATAATTAATCACGAAGATTACTCACAAGTTAATCTACAAACTCTGTAACATTTCGGAACAATGATATCAAAAGAGACATTCCCCTTTTACAACTAGAAAATACTACACAAGTCTTTGGTCTGTTTATAACCGACTGAATCTTATGTCTTTCAGAAATCTAGTGTAGTTGAATGTGTCAAAATCTGTTAAGTTCTTTCATTTCAACCAAAACTTATTGAAACCAAGAAGGAAATGTTAATTTAAGTCAATTATGGTAATTTACTGATCGATAACCGTGATGATTGTAATTACATAACAGATTCTCAGCTGGGTTCTAGTCAAAAATGAAATCAGATTTAATGAACAAGAAAAACTAATTTATAATATGTTATCGTCACTATCGCTATTTTATAATTACCAAGCCAGATATTCTGCTCACTCTGTGCTGTATACTTTTTTATAATCACTTGCAAACACTTTTGGTCCTAGTTCGAAACTTTTGAGGATATGTTATGCCACAAACTATGGTTCTGTTGGAAGAAGTTCGTCATTTCGGGTTCTTAGTTTACTCCGTATTATTGCTTCCACTAATGACTAGCGTCTAAGGAATACCACGTTGAATGTCGTCAGCTATATAAAGAAAAATATTTTCACACTCACCTAGTAATTTTTGCAGGGCAAGTTCGGAGTGTAAACAAGCCTCTACGTTACTCCATCTGACTGTGAGTGATAAGATCGGGGACTTATTTTGGTCAAGTGCTTCAGTTCAACAATAGTTAATGATCATTTGAAAATTAAATTGAGAACTAAGGTCTTGTGAAATACACGACAAGGAATGGTATTAGACAGAGATGGCAATGTTTTCATGGAGGTGGGTAAAACAACTGGATATACTTCAGGTTACCTTCAGCCGACATCGTCTACAATCTGTAGGCGTGTCATCGATAAGAACAGAAAAGTACACATGTAATTATCCCAGTCTTTCTGCTTCTGCCTTGCATAATGGTGAAAGGCGCATTGAAATTTTTATCGCTCACTGCTTTAAAGGGCGTTGGTTGACATATAATTTGATATTGTTATCCGTCTATGGCTGTTGGACGCAGATTTTAGCATTAGTTTTCCTTCGTTCGATACCACAGCTGTTGAACTGAAACTGGCGAAGATTTTAATGTTTTTCTCCAAAATAATGATAATCGGAATAGCTTAGAGTAACCGTCATCTTCAGGAGAGTTGACGCAGTTTGTTGCTTGATACTACAGACTATATGGTTTCTGTTGTGTATTTAGGCGCGCTTTTTATCAAGTAATTTATTCGCTAATTGAAATACGATTTATTCGCTCTTGTACTGTACTAAACCAAACACGTCCAACCGTTTTGATCAGCCTAGCGTTCTATTGGTTTGTTGCTCACCTAGCCCGTCCAGTTGAGTCCAGAATGCCAATAACAGCCTCCACTATGCGAATCATTTGTTTCAGACATACTGGGTTTATATATCAATCAAACAGACCGCAACGTACCACAAAATAGGAAATAACATTTATACACAATAAAGCCAAAATGTGGCTGTGAACGTGGGAGACAGTAATTAATCAACTGAGTATAATTTAAGAACAGTAAATCGTATAATAATAATATATAGGTCAAAGGGAAGCTTATAATAAGATGAATATAAATATATACAATCTAGTTACTGAATAATTATACAACAAGAATGTATAGATAATATTACTCCATTAATAGGTCTCAGAAGTTACTCGTCATTTAATCTTCGCTAGTATATAACAGTTTCCATGAGACGTCTTTCCGCCTGAAGGTTATTAACTTTTCGAGTCCTTTCTCTTGCTTAAAGTGCAGCTACATAGTCTGTTATCGGGACATCAGCTACGATGTAGCTTTCATGTATGTATGATTACTCTCCCATGTACCATAATAAGATATCTGCACGTTCAAAATCCTCTGTTTGTAGATAATGGATAGTGAAGTTGTATCCTTGGAGTGGAAGGACTCAGTGCTGTAAGTTCCCTGTAAAATGAGGTAGTACACAGAAATATGAACAAAATATTGATAACAGGGTTTTATGATCTGTAAGGAGGGTGGGTTTTTTCCTTAGATCAGCTTGTTGAACTTGTAAACCACAATTTCTAGAGCTAACTGCTGTTTATCAGTTTGCCCACATTTCTGATTGCTTCCTTTTACTATACTCTACGCCTTCAGGACTGTACGTTTTTATCCGTTTGGAAATGCGTGTAGTGATACGACTTCAATTTCATACAACTATATGTCCGTAGTTACTCTTACAATAATATGAAGGTCATATAAGGTTGGAAATTTGTAGGACTTAAAGCAGGTTTTAGCTATTTTGATGTATTCCTGAATTTATTTAACTAAGTTCACGGAACATTGTTTCATAGTTACTAATTTAAAAAATACTCAAAGTGGTAAAATGAGGAGTAGCAGTTTATTGTTCTTCTAATCGGTGAAGAAAAACATCTTCATAAGCTTCACTAACGTTCTACTTCACTTTCATAGGTATTCAAATGCTTCTGAGACCACAGAGGATATTGTTTAAATATAAAGAATCTCTAAAGAGGTTAGCCAGAACTGTCCTCACCAACTATTAGAAAATAGATGCTGCTGTTTTTAGCCAATTGATGGTCGATTATATTGGAGTAGTCCCAGATGTGTTAACCATTAGTTAAACCCGAGACTTGAGTTATACTTTCATTTGGAATTTCGTTCTAGCTAAGTTGAATTAAGCTAAATATCTTCATTTTTTGAGGAAAATACTAAGTTTATTCGAGAGATACATAATGATGTAGTGTAAGGTTTGAATTCGGTTTAGTGGGAAGCTGAGTAGGATTCTAAGTGAACTTTTGGCATTCTTTATCACAACTTCTGAGGTTGCTTAACCTGAGTATTACACACGAGCAATGACGCCTTGTTACTCAAATTTCCGCAAATTGACAGGAACAACAGGTCATGATGAATAAGAAACCGATTTTTTAAGGTAGTACAAAGTTATGTTACTTTTGGGTGACAGAAAGAGTCATTTGTTTATGTACAGTAACCAAGTCCTACATTGAAATCAATTAAAAGTTCTTTCAGTAACGATGATAAATTCCAAGGGGTTATTGACCGAATGTCATTGCAGGTTGAGTTAAGTGATATGTCTCTCGGTAAGAAACTACACTAATCTAGCACAACAGGATTTGGTTTTATATCGGTGATATAGAATCTACTATTAGATACCTATACGAGAAAACAAATACAATGTCGCAATTCCATAATAAAAATAAAAGATAACCACCACACTCCATACTAATGTTTTTATGTCTCGCTTACTTCTGGGTTGTCGAGTTTTCTCCAAATTTTCTGCGGCACTACTGTGGTCTTTGAAGACTGTTTGATACTTCCGATTGTAATGATAATTAAATAAGTTGCCGTTAAATCCATCGATATGTCCCCCGATTTGTCACAAAAAATCTTGGCTTCATAAGTTAGTAAAGAGTGTGTTCAGCTTGTAAAATCTATCATTGTATTCATGAGATTACATTTCCTGCATTAATGTCATTAATGACGGTATGATTTGACTAAATCCCATGTATTGCAACAACAGTCTATAAATGACTGATTTCTCTTCATTTCCTTGACTTGATGTTAAGGTATAATTTTGTGGATCCAGAAGCCGCGTAAATAAAACTATATTTATTATTAAATTAAATGAATTTATATACCAGATGGTTAAACAGAGTAAATAAAAAGATCTGAAACAAAGTTTTGTGCCATCTGGTATTAATTAACTTAGAGAAGCTGAATTCCTGGTGAAAGTATTCTAAGATGTTCTACTTGATGAAACATTCAGAGATTTTATTATTGAGGTATTCTAATGCTTTAGTGACCTAATCGCTCGGTGGATAAGAGGCTCAGCTTTTAATCATTAAGTTCTAGGTTCAAATCTCCGCTACACACTTCGGTTTAGGAAACCGCGTGATATCAATAGCCTTTATACTTTGGATGTAGCTCATATTAGAGTACCTAATGAATAATTTAATTACCAATTGTTTACTTTACAAACTTGAACTACTGGACTAGACCAGAATAAATAGTTAGATAAGAGTATACTGAATATTGCATGATGACAAATTAATGACGTTACATTTCATGCAGTATAATGCACGTTATTATACTACCTCAAGGAAACAAAACATTTTATCATCATTTCTAATATTATTGCAAATGATTATGATTTTTAGTGCCATCAGTACTCCATAACTAAGTAATTTGTCATATTTCAATCAAATTTCAGTAAGTTGTTTTCATTTATTTACTTTTATGTTTAAATTAATATTAAAAGGATGGTGAAAAAAACTGGATAACTTTCGATGATCATTTCGAAAAGCAAGGGATTTGCTGGGAAAATTCTACGCCCAAAAATCTCATGTCTCAAAATCTTCATAATCAACCATTTGGTAACAATGATCCACATTTCTGTAAGTTAATTATGATTCACATATAGTTCTTAAATTCCATATAACGTCTGTATCTCAATTAGTTTTTATGAATTTGAAGTGTAAGCTACTCTTGTTTGATCTAATTGATTAATAGTGGTCAAATTTACCGGCATGAATCTCAGATTTATAGTAAAACATCGTTTTACCAGTTATATTTATTTATTTTATGTGAAATATATTACATACTATTTCTACACTAAATAATTATGATTCTCAGTAAAATCAGTATTCCAAGATTAACTAATTTGATTTCACTTTAGTGTCATACCACATTTCGTCAATAGAACTTGTTCAGTTAATTTGTAGTGCCTGATACTATGTCAACCACATATAGGTTATTCTAACTTACAGACAGACCAGTTTATTCGTTCTCCGAAAGCCACATTTTGACCTTGTTAATTATTCGCTTATCGATCTTAACTGATTTTATGTGAGCGTATGTTCTCGAATTTCTTATCTTACCATATATCCGTAACTTATTTTCGTTTGACTTTAATATCGATTCACACTTGGTTAGTAGGACTTGGCTCACATGCTTACACCGATGCGATCCGTTTCGCTTCGCTCTCTCCTATCCGTTTCGTTTCCTCAATCGTCTACCTAGATTAACATATACCTGAAATAAATTTCTCTAACGTCATCCTTCTTATTACCGCCGTCATACAAACGTGGTTAGCCTAGGCAATATACGGAGTTAAATGGAAGATTTATATTCATAGCTTATTCATACGTCCATTCAAATTGGAGTCAAATCAGCCGGCACCACAAAGCTTCCAAATCAGTTATAGGTATAAAATACGCATTAGGTTGTATAAGTAAAATATATTTCATTTACACTGATACAAAGAAGCATATATTTACAAACTATAAGAATAAACTAAAGAAACGACATATTACTAATCACTGTTATAAATTTTAAAAAAATAGTGACATTCAACAATAACATTAAATGAAAACTTAACTATACTGGAAACAAATAGTACATTTCAATAATCATATATTATTTGAATAATTTGCAAACTAGGAATATTATCCCAAACGAAAAACAATAAGCTGGTTATCTTAAACTTCAAATTTTGTATATTATGACTGTATTTTTCCTTTATTCAATATAAATATTATTATTCACAAATATATAAGTATTTGACCGAAGAATATTCTTTTCAATAATTTCTCATCAGGTTCTACAATTATAAATCCAAATTAATAATCCATAAAATTGGTCAGATTTAAAGCAGAGTACATCATCCATTGTTTTCTCTCTCTCACCCCATATTGACTATATTTACTCTGACCATTTATCACACAATTTCATTTCACTTATAAACTGATTCAAGTTCACACTTCATAATAGTCAACCTTAACATTAACGATCTGATTTGAATTTATATAACAAACAACAATTCTTGATTCACATATTACAATTTCCAAATGATGTGCTTTGCCTAAATCTGATCAATTTTATAGATTATTAATTTAAATATGAGATAATTGTAGAACCTGACGAGAATTTATTGAAAAGAATATTTTTCGTTCATATAATTGTGTTTGAATATAATGGGAATTTTTCAGCGATTGAAGTATAAATAAACATAGAAATAAAATTCATTAAAAATTCTTTAAACCAAAAGATGGAAAAAACAATTCATGAACAAAACTGTTAAATTTCATTATCAATAGCTTTTGTCTAATATTATTAATTTCAATAGCTGAAACCATGAGTCAACTTAAACTAGACCACCGTTTCGTCCTAGTATGGGACTCCTCAGCAATGCGCATCCACGATCCCGCCTCTGCAAGATTTGAACCCGGGACCTATCAGTCTCGCGCGTGAGCGCTTAACCATCATACCACTGGGCCGGTATCCAACGGCATCCAACTGCTGAGGAGTCACATACTGATGCGAAACGGCCGTCCAGTGCTTCCAGGTTTTCCATGGTGATTTATCTTCAATTGACTCATGATTTCAACTATTGAAATTAACAAGATATCCACAAAACCCTTTCTGATAACATTATTAAGTTATAACATTTTCAAATATAAATATTATATGATAATTGGGTTATTTATACACTTTACAATGTACTTCATTGTGAATTATATAGCTAAATTTGAATTTTTACTAAATACTGTCTATTTATTCATAATATTTAGTCTCACAAATCAATATGAATAATCAAATGTCCAAACATAATTCTAGTCCATTTATGGAAATGACTAAATGTACAACACAAAACACTCCGTATTTAAAGTCATATTCAACAACAGCTAATATTTGGTCAAATATACCACCTACTATTCAAACCGTAAGTTAATGCTTTTTTGTATAGTGGTACACATCAATATAGTCATTAAAACTCATTTGAATTTAGAACATTTAAAAATTACATAGCCAATAGTGGTTGATCTGAAATGATTCTCATCGTTACAGTCGATTTGTTATATTCTTTATAAAATTACTTATTGATTGAGATATTTACTGATAAAATCGATCTTTGTTCCAAGTGTTATTGTTTTATTTATTATACTTCTTCTCTTTCATTTGATAAATATTACATGGAGACTTTCAAAAAAAGATGAGGAACATCATGATACACTCAGACTCTTTACACACTGTCGTCAGCCGAATTTAAACAGTATTTTTCCTAAATATTTGTATAAAACACAAAAGTACCAAATTTGATTACAATTTCAGTCATTTCAGCTTAATAATATTTAGTCTAATTTGATCATTTGGATATATCCACTGGAATTAAATATTGATTAGTTTTAACTTCCTTTTTATTACATTAATTTAACAGTAAAACTGCCTAACGAATAAATATATGCTTTGTTTTCCAATAATTATCCACTGTCCACGTTCCTGGTAATGATGTGCGAAAAAATGTAGCCATTCAGTATACAACTAATGTTTTATGAATACCAATACGTTACCATTTACTATCTACTGATGATTATGAATATAAGAATTTTATGAACACGTTTGTTGAAGTAACAAAACAATCTACTGGTACCATTTAATAATTTATATGACTTTCTATTAAGAAAACTATCTTCGGATGTGTTTAATCCTAGAAAGTTAGATCTTTTTCTGGAAAGTTTTTTACTATTCACAAAAGGTTTAAAGTATATTACACATGTTTATTTTATACATTAAAAATATCATAATTTACAAATTTACAAACTTCAAATAATTCACTGACATAACCGAAAATTATGTCAGTTATTTGGAAATATTAGAATGATTTTATAGACAAAATGATCAAATTTCTACCAATGGTTTCGACATAATTTAAAGTTGATTATATATATATATATATATATATATATATATATATATATATATATATAATTTGTTCATTATGTGTTGTTTGAATTTCTGAACGAATAGACTTCTATCATCTTATTAGATATTACTTTGTATTGTACTTGTAAATAAATAAAAAAACTGAAATATTTTGCCGAATAATATGTAAATTATTCATTCGATATTACTGCTTTCTAGTCGTAAACATCTGATATAAATACGTGATATATATATATATATATATATATATATATATATATATATATATACAAATGTATAAATTCAACAAATTAACCATTATTGAATAAAAATTTTAGTATCATTTACTACATAGATTGGAAGTAAATTTGCATAAATATAAGAACCTATTTACTTTTATCTGTAAGTATATCTTGATAAATAAAATGGAAATACGAATAGTTCTAATAAATATGATTATTTGATTATTTTTTTTTGGATGTAGCTAGTATAAACTAGAATAATACAGTTTCAAAAGATCGGTAAATCGTTTAAGAAAAAAAATCAGTCAAAAAAATGTTTATGGATAGGCCATTATAGATACAACTGAAAATAAATACATTTGAAAAGTATACTTTTACTTATATCTTAGGTCAATTTTATTGAAAGGAATTATGTTTATAAGGAAATAAATGACAAAATTAGGATCTCAGAATAAGATTATACTACTCTCCAAAACATAAATATTTAATTCTATAGTGAATTTAATACCCAAATTTAATTCCACTTAAGCAAAGTTTTTATTGAAGGAGAACACTGAACACGTTGGCAAGAAGAAGGAGATTACTGTAAAGGAGAAGTTTATAAATAAATATTATATATGTCTGTCATATTATAGCTCCAAAAATTATCATTATAATGATTGCCTCTTATTTCCTGATATAGTTATGCTAAGGATCTTTTCTGAAATCATATTACAACTTTGGCATTATATTTTAAATAGTAGTTCATTCCCCTGTTGTATCCTAAATTTTTGAAGCTTTCTATGGTATAGTATAGTAAAACGATTCCCCATAATCAATATAGGATTCGATTACTTGAATTAAAATGTGAGTTTTCCATCTGTGTGTTTTAGTGATGGTACAGTGACAGTTTATGAGGAATATTAATCAGTTTTTATAATGCTAACATGCCGAATCTCCCAAACAATACACAAGTGTTCAATTAAAGATTAATAAATGAATACCCCGTTAATCTGATTTAAATGTTGTTTATAAGACACCTCAGATAAAATACTACTTATTTTGGGTTGTCAGTGAATGTTAAATGAGCGTAAACGAATTGTTGATCGAGGACAAGTTCTCAAGTGTTTACCTAATATCCAGTGGTATCACTAACTGAGTTTTCGCAAAGCTAATTTTTATTGCAAGGCGTTAGTTGTTACCATTTTTTCTTCTAAGTGAAAATAACTACTTGTTTGGTGTAACTCATCAGTTTGTGTGTACCTTGTTTTAATTTATGATAAAATATGTAATAGATTTTAGTTTAAGTATCCTTTGTTAATTATACTGTGATTTTTATTTTAATATAATAACATGCATTATATTTTCAATTTTAGACTAAAATATCCCCAATGGATGATAATTTTTGTAGCTGGACAACAACACAGCATATCCAAACTAAGCCAAATAATGTGTATACTAATAATAAAAATGTTACGAATAATCCATTTTATAATTTACCAGTTGGTGACACTCATTTAAATGTAAAACAAACTTCTCCACTTGATACAATATTTGATATAAAATTGTTTAACTGAAAACACAACCTTTACTAATTTCTCATCATTATAAATTCTTTTTGTTGTTTATCCATCTGACAGTAAAAAAAACAATCACATTTTGCAACTCCTCATTTTGATTTATTTTTTTTCGACGTAATGCATCTTGGTCAACGATTTTTCTTCATTGTGATTTTTCTTTTTTGAAGAAACACTTTACAATTGGACACGAAGTTATATTTTCTAATGTGTATCGTTGAAAACCCAAATGTATTTACTGAATCTTTGACTGATAACTTTGTCACACTGAAAATAAACTTATCTTTCATGTCAATCTGATCAGTCGATTTGTTTTCAGATTTATATAGAATGATTAGTGATTAAAGTCCTAATACACATCAGTAAGTGATATTTGTTGAATTATTTGATTGTTACTACTTTTAAAGCTCTTTTCATATGTAACTTATTTCACAGATTAATTTTTTTTTAAAAAAAAAACCCGATATAATTTAATTGCGTAAATGTAATTAACCGTGTTTCAATCTACCATTGGTAAAAATAGGTATTTAAGATAAAAAATTAGTTTACCTTATTATGTCTGACAAAATATGAACACTATTTTACTGAATTTAAATAAATGACTTTACATTCATTTAATTGTTGGAGACTACCTAAATAGATATTTATCGTAGATATTGGGAAATTTTCAACAATGAGATTTTGTATATCTCTAAATACAACACATTTGACTTAATAAAAAGATTAAAAATTATTATTTTGAAGACTAGAACAAAACATATAACAAACAAAATTGTTTTCAGTAAGATCTTTATCAAGCTTTACTTGAATATACAGTAATATTGAAATATATCGGAAATATAAATAAGTCAGTCCAATTTATGGGTCATTGATAATAATGAAGTAGATCATATAGTTAATTATAATTTGCAGACGATCGATCATTGAGTAGAAAATATATCAGGTCAACTAGTAGTAATAAGGATAATAATGACTAGCCAGAACGATTAAAACATGACATGAAGCCTACTGTTGCTTACCATTTTCCTGTTAACTAATATTATTTATTAAAATAAAGTATCGGCTACCTGTTTTTGCCACGTCAGTGTGCATCGATCAATTCTGTGACGAAAAATAAATCAGAAATTTTTTCAACTTATGTAACCAATATGTGAATGAACATCTTTTTGAATAGTTTGGATACATCTAAATAAATCCTATGCTTAGCTCTGTTTTATCATATTTGGTTGATTGTGATCATGAAATAGATAAGACAAAATCCATTGTAGTGATCTACCGTATATTTTGACGATAAAGAGAAAACTACAGTTACTGACCATAATCTGTGATTGGAATGTTTAATTAACGAAAAAATTTAATTTAGCTGTCATTACGAGTTTAATTCTTACTCTGATTATTCTAAAAGTCGGATTCTTCATTTTATTCAGTTGGCCTATACTAATTTACAGATTGCAAAACTTAAATATAGCATAGCAGCAGATCGAACAAGATTTAGTCAGAAGTATATTGTGATTTCATTCCTTAACTTATATGTGATTATACTAATTAAGTACAAGAATACAACGAACGATTATCCACCGATGATTTACTTTTAACAAAAACTTGATAACAAATCTACAGTTTATCGTAAATGACAATCGCTATAATGTCTGAATCAACAGAAAGCGAGAAATTATTATCAAATCCATAATACTACCTGATAAATGCTCATTTTAAAAAAATATAAACAATAAATTAGCTACATAAATATTGATGTTTATTTACATCATTTATCAACAAATTCCATTTAAGGTATTTTCAAAAATTAACAAAATATCCAATAAAATGTAGTGTGATTAAAAATGTCACTCAGAGGATATTTCACTTTAGACATTACAGTACGACAACAACCTCACTTTGACAATTTATTCATGATTCCTTCATAAATCTTATAATTTAATAAAACAAAATAGATGGAATTTCACTTGCAGTGGAATCTAAGTCTTGTCGGATGGATGTACCTGCATTCGAGTTGGTGTTCACACTGGGACTCGAACATTAAGGCAGTTCTACAGTACGGAGCCGAAACTTGGAGAACTAAAACAACCACCATCAAGAAGGTACAAGTATTTATAAATAGCTCTCTGCGCAAAATACTCAACATCCATTGGCCAGATACCATCAGCAACAGCCTTCTCTGGGAGAGAACAAACCAGCTTCCAGCTGAAGAAGAAATTAGGAAAAGACAATGGAAATGGATAGGATATACATCACGCAAGTCATCAAACTGCATCACGAAGCAAGCCCTGACTTGGGATCCTGAAGGGAAACGGAAAAGTGGAAGGCCGAAGAACACATTACTTTGGGAAATAAAAGCAGATATGAAAAGGATAAATAACAACTGAAAGGAGCTGTAAAGGAATGCCCAGGACAGGGTTGGATGGAGAATGCTGGTGAACGGCCTATGCTCCTTCACGAGGAGTAACGGGCGTAAGTAATTAAGTAATTTTGGCATTATAGAGGAAATTCACACAGGAAGTGCATATATCAACCAAAACTGATTTAATTTCAGTCAAAATTTCAACAATTCAAAAACAGGTTCAAATTGAACTAAAAACTTGATATTTGTCTAACTGACCCTAAATATTTTGGCTTTCAGTCAGCTGCCTGTTTACGGCAAATTCGTTTTCATGAATTTCACGTTTTCAAATTCTCTGATTCCGTAAACCTTTTTATTTTACATTCGTTAATAAACTATTTTCTTTGTTTGACCCCAACTTTCTATAACAACATTTAAGTAATGGCTAAAGTCATTCATTTTGAAATAACAGCTGTCACCATGGCATTTCAGTTGCATGAATTCAATCATTATCATAGTATTAACAGACTAGCGAAATAAATATATGTTGGACCGGAACTATTTGTTTTCAAAATCCATCCAAATGAATGAATAACAATGAAAGTTAACCTAATTATCATAATGTTCATTGTGGTGTGTGACATATCTCCTTTCATCATACCAAAAGTATATACCAACATCGATTTAGAACATGTATAAGCAAACAATATTGTTTTCAGTTAGATCCTCAACAGGTTTAACTGTGATATGCATCAAGATTTATATGCATATACAAAATTATTAAACCAATTAAGGTAGTTTATTAGTCGGTAGGGGGTTTCATCTTGTCTTTTACGCATGACAGAAGTCATAGGAATTCGGACTAACAATTCAGGTCTTTGTATTCATAAGAAATTTATAACTCCCTTAATTTCTTCTTTCGCTGAATAAGCCTTTAAAAAAGATTTTACTTATCACTTTTTTCCGTACAATTTGTTTGTCCATTTTCTTCGACCAACTTTTTTCAAATATACGCTTGATTGTCCAACTATCTGAACATACCTTGTTACGTAATCTTATAATTTTTATGAATGTTATTTCAGTGTCTATATTTTTCAGATTATTGACCTATTTTCTGTTATGAAACATTGATTCAAGCTTTTGTTATTCTTATCAAAACTAACACATCTTACATCACACTATCAATTCGTACTTCTTACTTAATCTATTCTACTGTGATCATTGATTTATAAACTACCTTAATTGGTTCAGTAATTTTGCATATGCATATAAATATTAATGTATATCACAGTTAAATCTGATGAGGACCTAATTGGAAGTAATATTGTTTGCTTATATATATTCTAAATTTTTTGTTCATCGGTATAACTAGATGAAGATGAGAATATATATATATATATATATATATATATATATATATTGTCAGCCATTCTACCTAAAGATAAATTAGCGATCGTTACATCTAGTGGCAGAATGGAACACGCTATGTGATTTTGCATATTCAAATCATGTAAATTTCAATAAAGTATGATAACATTCTCATATTCATCTAGTTATACCGATGAACAAAAAATTTAGTATGAAGTTGGTGTAAAGTATGACTATCTTGCTCATTCGCTAGAATTCACTAAAATCACAAAACGAAATATTTTTTTGAGTTGCATAAATCTACCAACTCATCTCTGTTTTATGTTAGCTGATTATTGATTGGTATTAGTATTTATGTCCCGGAGCATAAAGCACCAACTGTTAGAAAATAATAAACAATTCTGCTGCATCGGCACAACGTTCCCCAACGCAGTTATTGCACTCATAATGATCTATATCCTTCTGTAAATTACTGAGAATTGTTATATATGAGATAAAGTGCTACGTTTTGAGACACTCAGTGCTGAATTAAAATCTCATTTAAAACTTTACCATGACTTAAGTACACTAATTTAATCAATTCTAGTTATAACTTCAATCAATAAGACGTAACTAATTGTTGAGACCAATCTAAAATGTGTAAATTTTGTAGAAATTGGGATTCGCATGATATATTTGTTTTTTCGCGATAATTTGACGAAATGGATTTCTTTTTTCTGCCTATTCTTAATTATGCTGTGAACTATTTTTAATATCTATGTTTTAATATACTTCTACCTTCAAACTGATAACCGAGAAACTTAAGTTTTGATTAAGCTTACATATCGAAAACTTAAAATCATAAACTAAGGATGAAGTAATTCTTGAGTATCAAAGTAGTTTTAAAAATAACTTGGGTAGTATTTTGCTTTCATGTTTGAGTGGATTGATAGTTAATTTGATGATACTTATTTCTTTCGTTTGGCTCTTTCCCTCCTATATTTTATCACACTATTCATAATTAGTCAGTAGTTTGAAGCATTTAAATACTGTAGTGTTTCAGTAAGCATACCTTTTTCCATCGAGCCTTTTCTTTCATTTATTAGTCTAATGTTACCAGTTTATTGATTGATTATCGCTTCCGTATTCAAGTATTCTCCTTTTGGATCTTATGACATAAAGGCTGATTTAATTTTAGTGACCTACTTACATGAAATCTTGTAGGTTGAAGGTGTTATTTTCTATTATTATTCCAAACCAACGACGTGTTACTTTGTCATCAGATCAATAGTAATTTTTGTAATATTATTCATAC